CTCGCGCAACCCGTTGTCCTTGGTCAGCAGCTTCCTGTCCTTGTCGCCTCGGCGGCGACGACCCCCACGTCGGCCTGGCTTCGCCTTCGACGTCGCCCCCTCGCCCCCCGCAGCGCCTCTGGCGACTCCTGCTCCGTCCTCTGCTTTCTGCTTCTTGCGATCTTCGGGCTTGGACGGCTGCCCACCAGTCGCTGACGCCTGGGAGGAGGCCAACCGTCCTCCTCGCCACTGGCCTCGGGGCTTCTCCACCTCCATCAGCACGGGCAGCCTGGAGTCGCCGCAGGTCGTCACCAGCAATAATCAGCCCAGCCGCCGAGCGGTGCTCACATCCACGAGCCCTGGGTACACCAGCAGCCAGTGGGGCGATCTCACGGCCGCGAGGCACGCGCGGGGGAGCTCTGGGTGGTCGAGGCTCGACCACAGCAATCGGGTGCCCCACCTCCGTGGGCGGGATGTGCGAGCAGAGGTGGCTACGGAACGATGCGTACGACGTGCACTCCATGCTGCACACCATGCACTTGTAGTCGCTTATGTCCTTGAACGTGTACGGGTATGCCGTGTTGTTGCGTATGCACCGCCCAGCGTGCCAAGCTCGTGCGAGGTGCCGTACTGCTTCCGTGCGATTCTGGTATATCGTGCCGCAGTTGATGCATGCGTTCGCCGGTGTGATGATGTGGAATATGCTTCTACCGCCGTGTCCCTCCCCTTGGCTTTGTGTGACGTGCGCAATTAGTGCTGCTCGTGTCCTGAACGTAGCCCCACATACTGTACCATCCCCCCTGACAATAGAACACGAGAACGACGACACCGAGTTTTCCCACGTTTCTTCTCCGTCAAGTTCCGCTGGCACAGAGTCCGTCAGCGAGTCAGGGGACCTCCACACAGTCGCTGTGAAGGCCGTCCGCAAAGAGCGCGGATCAAAGGCCAAGAAGTAGCAGTTCACGTCCTTGTCCCAGAGCAGCCTGGGCAAAGTCCTCTGCCCCGGGGTGGTCCACGACCATCTTCATGTCGCTCTTGAATTGCTGCAGCCACGGGTGCGTCCCCGTATGGTCGTTCACTCCACCAGCTGGGTCGAGCGACGGGGGGCGCGCGCGCACTCCGCCTCCAGCTCCCACTTCATCGTTCCGAAGAAGACCGACAGGAAGTGCTCGTGGTTCCCAGGGTTCCGTATCACACTCTGCCAAGCCTTCAGCCTCTGGACCGTCGCCTCGAGCGCGAAGGGCACCAGCTGCCAGTAGCGGTACACCTCCCGAGACGTGAGCGAACGAACTTGATCGTCGTGGAACGTAGCCGTACCACCCATCAGATAGCGCAATTTTTTCACCAACGATGAGCAAATAATACGGTGTTCGCTCTGGGTCCAGACCATCGATATGGTGCCCGATAAGCCTGCGCCGCTGACCAGGGAAATGAACATCAGCCTCTTCACACGACGCGGCGCCTTCGAGCTCCAGAATCCTTTCACCATAAGCCACCCACGGTTGAGCGCCTGCAGGCGCGCCCGCAGCTCGCTCGCGTTGCTCCCCACCGCGTTGAACCAGGCGCCCAGGTGCTTCAGCTCGTAGCCTGCCTGGCATCCCGACTGCCGTAGTCCCAATATCACTTGTCTAGTAAGCTGCCTCGACCTCAGTGCTGGCACCACGTCCTGCTTGCTCCGATTCTGTGCATACTGCCGTGCTGCCAACGACTGATCCAGGTACATGTCGTTCCGCTTAGACATCGCAACGATGTCCCCTGCGTTGACCATATCCTTCGGCACCAGCATCGTCTTAAAGACGTCGTCCATGAACGTGCCCATGCTGGCGTCCACCATGGGAAACTTGCTGAAGGTGATGGTCATGCTCTCAGCGCTCTGTCTTCTCTCAAAGGCCGCCCACGCATGGACAGCATGATGGTAGTTCTGCATGAAAATCTCTGGCTCCGACGTGTCGCCCATGAAGCCTCCGCTGCCACTGCGTACGGCACACCTCGCGTCGGCCGCGTCGATGATCACGGTGAGGTTGCTCATTCGGGTCCTCGTCACAGTTGTGGCGTAGCGGATGTCCTCTTCAACCAGCTCCTCCTCCTCAGCCAACCTGTCGTGCACACACTGTTCCAGCGGGTGCTTCTGGCCACAAGCGAAGGCGTTGGTCGCATCGTAGCTCTTGTGCAGCATCGGTTGGCCACTATGCAATCCTTTCCACGCCGTGATCTTCGTCGTCATCATCAGCTGCCCCCTCCTCCTCCCACGGCAGGCGAAGGCCCACGGTGGGGGTCTGAACGACCCCCCGCGGAGCAGCTGCCCCCTCGCATATGCTCTCCACCACGGGCACATAGCGTGTAGTAGCCTCCTCCCCGCAGGCCCAGCTTTCCCATTCTTCTTATCAGGCGCGAACCCGAACGAGAGGGACGCCTGCGTGGGCAACAGCTCGGTCCTCCTCACCTGCAGCGCCAGCCTGAAGAGGCGGTAGGATGCCTCCCCGTATTTTCCCAAGTGCAGCAGCTGCCTCTTCGCATACGGGTCGGGGGTGGTGGCATCGTCGTTCCAAATAGCCTCAGGTCGCGCCCCCACCCCCATCGGTTTTTTCCGGTATTCACTCGGCGCGCTGACCCACGTCGGGTCGAGCAGCATCTTGAAAACCTCAGCTGGCGCCGACCAGGCCGGCGAGAATCGCCCCAGCCTTGATCGCCGAATCGCTCTTGCCGTCATCTTGAAATCTTTTATTGTTTGCTTCCTGGTATGATCCGTCACCTCGAAATTGTCAGGGATGGCATACTCGTCGATGTCCTTCAGCTGCTTGTAGCGCTCCTCAGAGAGCTCAGCGTACCACGGCACCGACATCGCCTCCCCCGCCAGCCCCCCTCGCAGAGGAGGGAGCTCCAGGAACTGCACCCACTCGTTCGCCGACGGTGAGAAGCACGGGTTGGCACGGTAGTTGCGATTCTTGATGCCAATGCCCGTGCCCGCCAAGGCACGGGCCAGGCGGGGCACGGCCGCCATGTCACGGGTCTTCCACGCAGCCGCCAGGTCGTCCTCAGTGAGTCGTCGCCGTTCAGCCACAAACTTCCTCTTGTGGGACTTGAGCGCCTTCGTGTACGCCTTGATCGCCACGGTCTGCTTCGCCACGTCCGTCGTCATGGACACGTTTGCCGCAATCACCTCGGCCGATACTTCAGCCAGCAGGGCCCTGCGCGCCTTCAGCAACTTCCACTTTTCCGTCGTCATTTTCTCCAGCACCTCGTTCTTGACAGGGGCCAGGGAGAAGTGCTTCAGCGCCGTCGTCTTGATCATGTGCATGAGCAGCGCCGTGTGCCCCGTCGTCACCTCCCTACTCTCGAGCACCTCGAAGGCCGCGCGGTGGGACTCGAGCTCGTACTGCAACTCCTCCAGGAACGCTTCTCGCCCCTCGCCAGTGAGCGTCGCCTGGCTGAGTTTGGCACGGTCCCACCGCTCGCGCAAGGGTGTGAGCACAATCGGCGGCACCATCTTCATCTTCATCACGACGGGGATGTGGTCCAGCACCGCTGGCATCGATCGGCCTTCCTGCGCCGACCTCTTCCAGGTCTTTGCCCAAGATACCAGCGGCACCGCGTCCCCAGGGATACACACATAGTCAATCTGGCTCTGGCCGTTGGAGCCCACGAAGGTGGGGCCACAATTGTAGAACGTGTTGATCGCCACCATCCCCACCGTGCTGAGCCAATCATGAACAGCAGCACCGCACGCATTCTCCTTCTCCGCGCCATAGTCCCCCACGACGCCAGAGTCAGGCCTGGCAAGCAGCCCCGAGTTCAGGTCCATGCACACAACAGGCGTATACCGCTGGGGGATCTTCAAGAACTCCTGCTTTGCCCACTTCAGTAGCTGGTCGCACGTGTCCTTATAGACTCTGGGGCTGCCTGCCTTGCTCGGCTTGGGGGGAAGTACAGCACCATCATCGCAATCATCACCTGGCCCGACTGTATGTATGCCAAGCCCCCACGGCCAAGCAGGCAAGCTGGCGGCGTGACGATGCGCCTGATGTCCTTCCTCGCGAACCACGTCTTGTTCAGCATGATGGCACAACCGCACGCCTTCGTGACCAGTCGGCTCCTGTGCCACCCGAACTGGATGGTGTGGTGGTATGTCGCCGTGGCCGCATGGTGGTGCTCCCCCTGCCACGCACGTACACTTGTCCCAGGCAATCCAATGATGCCCACGTTGCGCAGCACCGCTGAGACCTCGTCGAGGCGGTACCCCGTCACCAGCGAGTGGGGGTTCCAGGAGCCCAGGAAGCTCCAGCGCTCGGCGCCGACGACGCCGATCAGCGTGGCCAGGATCAGCTTCAGCATGGAGCCGCTGGGCACAGCGCCCCAGGCGCGCGCAGCGCGGCGCCTGAGCGGCAGCGTGCCGCCTGCCCCCGCTGGGGGCGGCACACAGGGTCAGCGCCTGCGGGCCACGGCTGCCCCCATCACGGCGGGGCGGTCCTCGGGAAGGCCGCCTCTGGCAAGGGGGGGTCTGGGCCGCGTCGGCGGCTGGAGGAGGAGGAGGAGGAGGAGGAGGAGGAGGAGGAGGAGAAGGAGGAGGAGGAGGAGAAGAGGAGGGGGAGGAGGAGGAGGAGGAGGAGGAGGAGAGAAGGAGGAGCGGGAGGGGGAGGAGGGAGGAGGAGGAGGAGGAGAGGAGGAGGAGGAGGAGGAGGAGGAGGAGGAGGAGGAGGGAGATGAGGAGGAAGACATGGATTTGGGATCCGTGGCTCTGGCGCGAGAGGGCGCCGGGTCCATGGATCGGGCAAGGCACCCCTGGCACGCGCGAGGCCAGCGCTGCCCCATGTGGCGGCAGCGCGCGCCGCTGCTGTGTGGGGCACGGGCCCCGTGGCTCATCCACATGCCCAGTCCACGCCAGCGCTCCCTCGAAGATGACGCCCAACGTGCTGAGTCTTAAGGCCCTGCGCTCCCTCCGCAGCCCCCCCGCTCGTGACCCCGCCGCTCCCTGAGGCCCTCCGCCGCGAGACCGTGCGCGCTCCGACTGCCGAGGCGGCCGCTGGCAGCTTCCTTCATGAAGGCCATGAACCGGTCCCGCTTCTCGAACTCGCCCACGACTTCTATCTGGCCAGCGGGGGGGGGATGGGGGACAACACAGTCGAGGAGGAGGCAGAGGAAGGGGATGGGGGAAGAGGAGGACCAGGAGGACGAGGAGGAAGGAGAAGGAGGAAGGGGAGGAGGAGGAGGAGGAAGAGGAAGAGGAGGAGGAGGAGGAGGAGCAGGAGGAGATGGCCACGTTCGGACAACTTTGAGGCCCCGAGAGAGAGAGAGAGAGAGAGGAGGGGGAGGGGGAGGAGGGGGAATATGAGGGACAAAAGAGGGAGGGTAGAGGGGCAGAAGGGAAAGGGGATGGAAAAGGGGCAGGCGAGAGGCGGGTGGGGGGGGGGAGTGGGACGGAGTGACGGAGGAGAACGGATGACGAGGACGAGGAAGGGAGAGTGGACGAGAAGGAAGGACGAGGTCGAGGATGAGGAGGCGGAGGGGAATTACCACGGGACCGCGACCGAGACCGAACCCGGCAACGCCGTGCCATTCTCAGCAGTTCGTAGATCTTGATCATCGCCGCCCGCAGAGCTCGCGCGAAGCGACCACGACCCAGATCGAGCAGCGACGGGGCACTTGCGGCAGCCCGGTCGTGGCCCCGGTGCTTCCTGCCCTCGAGGGAGGGCAGGCAGGGCCGTGGCGGGAGCGAGGAGGTGAAGAAAAAGGGAAGACTCCTCCTCCTCCTCCTCCTCCTCCTCCTCCTTCTCCTCCTCCCCCTCCCCCTCCCCCTCCTCCTCCTCCTCCTTCTCCTCCTCCTCCTCGTCCTCTGTCCTCTGTGCTCCCCCTCTCGCCACCCCTCCTCCTCTCTGCCCCTGCAAGGGAGGGGGTCTGGACCCTCCAAGATAAGCCACTTCAGACCCCCCCCCGTGGGAGAACCCTCCTACATCTTAAACACATATACTCCAGATTTCGTAATAAAAAGGAGGGGGTCTGGACCCTCCAAGACAAGCCATTTCAGACCCCCCCCCGTGGGAGAACCCTCCAAAACATCGTCCCCAGACCCCCCCCAGGCCCTCCAAGATAGCCTGGAAGAGACCCCCCCCCCCGAAATGAGACCCCCCTCCCTGTATCACGAAATCTGGAACAGATGGCGCCGCGCCGTTTGTGCTCGACGCGCCCAGCGGACGACGCCAACGCCACGGCAAACCCACGGCAGACCCGTGGCAAAGCCTGCGCCCGCCCTCCAAGTAGACGACGCCGGGGCAATCCCACGGCAAACCCAGCGCGTCCGAAGCGGAGTGATGAAGGCGGAGGGTGATAAGCAGGGCAAGAATGGACTGGAGTGAGGAGGGCGCAGCACATTCGGGATATGAGGGTCTTCTCGTACAGACGTATCAGATGAAACCGCCCACGTTAAGGGAGTACCCTAATACTGGTGGCCTAAGTTCGGCCTCGAGTTGATTGTGTTATTATGTTTAGGGGTTATATTATGTTGAATGAAAGGAGGGAAAGCATACCACGTGCGTCTCCCCATTCGGTGTCCCGACGTCCTCACTCTCCTCTGTGAGACACGCTCCTGTTGATTCCGGCGCGCGCCTGCCAAGATTCAACACCTCATCATTTTCCGCCTCCTCCTCCTCCTCCTCCGCCTCTTCCTGCTCCGCCGCTCTCCCATCCTCAGCACCATCGGGTCTTGTATTCTGCGCCACTCGCGCGAAGTACAGCGGCACTGGGGGGCGGGCGTCCGCAAATTCCAATGTACGGGACCTGATGACCGTGCCTCTGGGGGCCATAGCCCGCAGGCTGTGGGACGGAAGGCGTCCCACGACGGGGAAACATTCTAAGCCATGGCTCGTCCCCACTGCTGGCGTTAACGCTCACAATGTACACCAGGGAGACAATCCGGGCAACATCTTCCTTCTCCATTCGCCGCCTCCGCTTCCTCCTGCGCCTCTTCCTGATGCTTCTGCTCATAGTCCCCCTGCAATTTCTCATCCTCCTCCTCTTCAGCCTCTCCTTTCTGCCCAGCTACCGACTGCCTGATGTGATCGATGCTCTACACCACCGATGGGGCAATCAGGACTCTCATACCTCGAGGGAGGGCCTGATGGCACTTACAATACACTAGGCGGAAGCTGCACAGCGCCACGCCCAGGCTAGTGGTCCTGAAGACCCACTGGCAGCGCGGGGGCGCGACTCCCCAACTAGAGGGACGCTCTGACTTGCGACAGTTGATTGCCTGCGCCAGAGGCGGCAACCGAGTGGCCCAACCTGTCGCGACCCCTGAGCGGGCAGACTATATATATATATATATATGTATATATCCTCCACGTGCTACGCACTGGCTTATGTTTGACAAGTGCGGATCTGCACATTTCCGAAAGGATGCGCCCATCTGCAGTGCGAACCTGATTCCTGCCCTCCATGGGCCGATGTGTCCATTTCCCATCGCAGATGTTCAGACTGCTGGACACATATACAGATGTCACTACATACCCCTGTAGTGAATGGGAGTGCATGTGGGCGTCAGCGAGGGGAACTTCTGGGTCCTGAGCTCGGGTCGGGGGCGTGGGCACGATGCGTGGGAAAGATCCGATTGTTTCGACGTGTTCCCGACCGTCTCTGGTGTTTGATGAAGGAATATATGTTCTGTCCTGCCAAACGATCGATGCAAGCTGTCGGACGAAAACAACAACTGAGACGATAGCAATGTCGAAACAGAGAATGCGCATAACGCATAGCGCCGAGGGATTAGGCCCGGTCAGCGTGAGGAGGCCGAACGGTCGTACACCGTCCCGGGGTGCATGGCTGAATTGCGATTCGATTCCGCGACGCGGATTTTGCTTGTTGCGCTATGCTTGCTGTCGTCGTCCTCACCCGCGACCCGCTCGCGACCCACCAACGACCCGCCCACAACCTGGCCGCGACCCACCCGCGAGCTACCTACGATGTGCCCGCGACCCATCCATACTGCTTCTCCAGAACTTCGGCGCATGCGGCGGACTTCTTCAGAGCCTTGCAGACTGCCGAGGACCCCGTCACCATCCTCACTCTCATCCGCAACTGCGGAGGCTATCGTATACATGATACTTCAGCTGACTCATATCCAGCGCCAGACCCAGGAGGACGACGTGCACTGCCATGCATGTCAGCGCGGTAAGCTCTGACTGGGCACGCAAGCGTAAAATTCTACACTGAGACACCTTGGTCGAGCTCGTCGGTTGCAAGATGCCCCGACACATAGCACCGAAGAAACTGAGGAAGCATGACCGCTACGAGTGATTAGGGCGATTGGCAAATTGTATGATATGAAGATCGGCTGGATTCAGAGACCTGGTTTGACAAGGGGATCGACCGAATACGAGGAGGTGGAGAACGAGGAGGTGGGAGAGTGCCATGGGGAGGCGGCAGCAGCAACGACGGCAAACACAAATGAACGAGAAGATGGACATAGCTGTCCGCACGGCCTGCTGGGTGATGTTGGGGTTCAGAGACAGCTCTTCCGAGCCGATCGTCACCTTGACAGGGTCTTCCTGGCCCCCGCCCCAGCCTGCGAGGGTCTCGCATAGCAGAGGACTGAGCGGAGGAAGGGGAAGAGGAGCAGCAGCAGGAGCATCACCATGAGCAGGAGGATGATGAAGGGAGAGGCGATAGCATTTGCGCCAAAGCTCTTGGACCTGACGTAGCGCGCCAGCAATGCGGTGACGATGTCGCGCTGGCCGACGCAGCTCGGGCAGGCGAGAGCGCCTCGAGAAGTTCGTGGCGCACTGCGTTGCAGGCAGGCAGGCCTGGGGGAGGCCCGACTCAGGCGCAACGACGTCTGGCAAGGCGAGCAGCTCGGTGTGTAGACGCCTCGGCTTCCCAAGCTGCGGGTCGCCGGGGCGCACGTGCACCGAACTCCGTCGCCAAACTCCTTGGATGCTCGGCTCGCCAAGCAGCATGGCGTAGACGCCCAGCTCTTCCGAGAAGATCTGAGCATTTTGGGACCTGGAGTTGGGCAGCAACACCAACACAAGGGGGTTGCCTCAATCGGGGGGCGATGACCGTGGATGTCGGTGATGGTAGTATTCCCTCGGCCAACTAGGAAGCCTGAATATTACCACCATCGCCGTTATCAGGACCACCTTTCCCCAGAGAGGCAAACGCCGATGCTGGGCTTGATGCCGTCCCCAGGCCTCCGAAGCATGACCAAAACCCAAAACCACGAGAGAGAGTGTCTGAGCCTCGCGCTGAGTTTGAATGGAGGGGGACGAGGAAATGCCCCTTCGGCGGCGCACCGCTTCCGGAAGAAGGCAGACCCTGCGTGCTCGCATGGCCTTGGGCAAGCTGGCGGTGGGGCGCCCGAGGAACCGCAGGTGGCGGGGGGGCACCTGAGACTTCCTTCGCACAAGCCTATCAACGCTGGCGTACTGCGGTATGTCGCAAACCCAGACGCCAACCAGAATTAAGCGCCTCCGGAAGTGCCACCACAGCTGCATGTATGTGTCTCTGGAGCATTTTGTTGGTGTTGTCGCGTCAGCTGCGTGTCCAGGCGGATCGGCGGCCGTTCCTTCAGCGTTCTATGCGGTCAGAATGCGCAGCTGCCCTGCCATTAACTAAGGCGCAACAAGTGGCGCGTGGCAAAGGGCTTCTCGCTGAAGGCGGAATCGCGCTGCCAAGCGCATGCCCAGCGGACACAGCGGGTTGCAGGAGATCATCGCAGGGGCGCCTCTCCGCCTCGAGCATGTCTCACTTTGGTGGCACGGCGCTTCTCCACGCTCGGGGACCCATCCAGGACGGGGGAGGGGGACGAGAGAGTGGGCAAGCGGGGAGGGAAGTGGGAGGGGCACCAAGCGAGCTGCGCTCGCGCCACATCTGACACCATACACCCACCCACCCACCCCTTCCCATTGCGTTGAATCATGTTCTGTCCGCTGGCTGGGGCTCAACACGGAACAACACGATGACGCGAGGGTGCTCCCGTTCAGCACGGCCTACCGCCCCACCCAGAGCTTTGGAGACGGCGAGAAGAAAACCGCATGTGGCCAGGTGCGGCTCGGGATCACCAGGGCGTGAGTGCCCGGAGGCATCGCGATCAGCGGCCTGGCGAAGGACGAAGTCCCCATTCTGATCTCTGAGAGGGTCCTCGAGAAGCTTGGGATGGCCCACGAAGGCGAGACGGGCGTGGCCTTCCTGGTGGACTTGGACCCGGCGAGACCCATCAAGCTGAAGGAGTCACCTGATAAGGGGCAATGCTAGCTCGAGACCCCCTACAAGGCGATAGCGGGCTTCGAGAGCTGGAAGCCGATGATAAGCCAGGCGAGGGCCCTCGGTGCGAGCGCGGGGCCAGTTCGAGGTGAGGGCCGCGTGCCTCCGAAAAAATACGACCATCCATACGGTTATCACCATCATCATCATCAGCAACACCATCATCATCATAGCATCATCATCATCATCATCATCATCATCATCATCATCATCATCATCATCATCATCATCATCATCATCATCATCATCATCATAAGCATCGTCATCGACACCGTCATCATCAGCAACATCAGCAGCATCAGCACCATCATCATCAGCAGCATCGTCAAATATTTGATTCTTTTATCATCACCATCATCAGCAACACGTGGACCGCGCCAAGACAAACTACGAGGGCCTCGAATGCAGCCCGAAGGAACGCCCTACCCAGGACAAGGGATCACATGTGACTTCGGGGAGCTCCACGAGGCCAATATCAGGAAGTACTAGACCGTCAGGCTCGAGCGGGACCTCACGGAGAGCACCAGAGCCGACATCACAGAGGGCCCGAACACCTAGACCACATACGACTCGATCCCCGGGCCTCTGCAAGGCACCTCAAGGCACGAGTGCGTCTGCAATGTATAGAACCGTGAAAGCCAGGGCCTCCTCTGAGGAACCCATAGAGAAACTTCACCTGGGGAGGCCCGAGACACTCTTCATGGCCAAGTCCACCGGTGAGGAGTTGTCAGCAGGAACGCTTGAAACACCGCAGCACGTCCAGAGCCACTTCATCTCGCGAGGCGTGCAACGCCAGCCGTCAGCTCTCCAAAGATTTCCATACACAAGTGTCCCCTGACGAGTCTGGTGGAATGCCGCGCCCTGGGGTCTCCCCAGGGTGGTGTACCGACGCCCTTGCTGGGGCCGCCGTCCCCTGGACCTCGTCCGCGATGCGCCTCGTATCCCACGAGACGCACTGGAGCCCGCGCAATGACCAGAGCCGACGCGACGACCCTCGCCATGGAGAAAGGCATCGAGTTGTCCCCAGCCCGGACCAGCGACGAGACCAACCACGCCCACAGGTAGAGGCTGTATCCAAAGGGGACACGGAAGCTCACAAGGCCATGCAACAGATTAGCGGCATGGAAGAAACCGAGCTCATCGCCAAGTTCGTGGGCTGGGGAATCATGAAGGCCGAATATATGACCATCGGCGAGCTCCAGCAGGTGATCCGCAAGCTGGTGCATGTAATGACCAAGTCAAAGGGCGGGGGCCACATGGAGTTCGGCATGTACGCGGCACACACCTACCAATGGGTGGAGGATGGCGAAAACGGGTACGCGACCTGGTTCAAGAATATACAGGCGAAGGTTAGTCAAGCTGGCAGCTGACGCGCTTTGTGTCATAGCCCAGCATCGTGAATGACGCCGCACAGTCCCCCGCTCGAGGAGCAGGAGGGCCAGCAGGAGGGCGCCGGGGCTCAGGCGGCGAAACTCAAAACGGACGGCCCGATCACGCGCGATGGGGGCCATGCAGGAGGACACCCGCGAGCAAGTCGGCCAGGTTCGTTGGTGGTGAACCACGTGATAGCAGTCACGAGGCACCAGATCGGGGACCTCAACGGTCTCACGGCCCAGATGGCGGGGCAGATTGACGGTGATGGAGACGGGAGGCAACAGCAGCCAGGCGGGCTCCTCAAGCATCGGGGAGTTCGCCCGAAACGGCATACCAGTCCCCGACGGGTGACGAGGAGGAGGAGGGGGAGGAGGAGGAGGAGGAGGAGGAGGAGGAGGAGGAGGAGGAGGAGGAGGAGGAGAAAGACGAGAAGGAGGAGGAAGAGGAGGAGGAGGAGGAGGAGGACGGGGAGGAGGCGGAGGAGGAGAAAAAGGAGGATGAGAGACGGCGGAGCAAGGAGGAGGAGGAGGAGGAGGAGGAAAAGGGGGGAGAGGAGGAGGAGGAGGAGGAGGAGGAGGAGGAAGAGGATTTCGCCTGGATTTCGCTTGCCTGATCCTCTCAGCCGTGAGCACGACGGCAGAGACGACGAAAACGAGCCTGCCGCCTACCCCCCGGCCTTTCCTGGGCGACACGGCGGACACTCCTGAAACGCACGCGGCCGAAACATCGACCACCGCGTGACTAACGGCGGCGCTGCGTTCTGCGCGCCGCCGCAGGTCCCCCGGCCTCGCCCCGGAGCGGGGGTGAACCGCCGCAGAAACTGTGAACCCCAGGGGGAGGAGAGGAGAGGAGAGGAGAGGAGAGGAGAGGGGGAGGAGACGAAGAGAAGGGGGAGAGGAGGAGGGGAAGGGCATGTCCCACAGCAGCCTCCCCCAATCCCCCGGGGGAGGCGCGACCCCTGCCGCCTCCGCGAATCCTGCGGCCTGGTCCCCGACTCAACTTTTACCACGACGATACAGGCGGCGCCGACCGCCGGGGCTCCTGCTATCCAAGCAGGGGGGCAACCAGGAATAGGAGGAGGAGAAGGAAGAGGAGGAGCAGGAGGAGAAAACGTCGAGGGAGGAGGAGGACCAGTGCAAACCCAAGAGTCACCAACGATGTTGGAAAGCAATTTTCCCTCCAAGTTCCATTTTTTTGTTGACCCCATATAGGGGCTCATTCACACTGAAGGAACTGCCTCGTTGAAAGGCAACCGTCTTCAGATCCTGACGCATGCCTACACATTGTATTCGGGATTCCAACGCCACGGATATACCTGACTGTTGCTATTTGACGATCCTGAATCGTGCCAAAACGCCACTCTTGGGACTTCACCACCGCGTGCCAACGTCATTGCTGCACCCATCATAATCCTGAATCCTTCCCAAACACCATGTATGGTGCGCAATTCATGGGATTCCGTGAAGCTGTTGAATCTCTCTCTCTCTCTCTCTCTCTCTCTTTCTCTCTAAAGAAAAAACGAAGCGCGCGGCGCAAATGCAAAAACCACATTTTGGAAAAGACCGCCATCAATCCGTGAAGCTCTTGCAATTTCCAACGAATGCGCACGGCGCTGGGGCGAGAGCCACATTTTGAAAGCGACCCGCCCTCCGCTTGTGAAGCTGAACCATTTGTCCCAACCATCCTGTAATGTGGGGTCCTCGATTTGAAGAGACACCGCCCCGCGTCCATCACCTCTCCCCCCTCCTCCCCGTCCTTGCCTCTGCTTTCCGCACGTCCACCGCGTCGGCACACCTGTCACACATTCCGTGCCCGCATAGGGAGCTCCACCGAAGGCCCCAGCGGCAGGGTCCGCATGGCGTGCCCGCGCCCGATTCGGCACGCCCCTTCACAAACTTCGTGGCCCCATAGG